AGGACAATACCTTTTACAGAGGCGGTCAAAATTATAGGCCCCCTTTTGTTTTTGACTTTTCTCTTTTCAAGTAATAGTTGGAACACATCTAAATACTGATTTGAATAGCCTAAAGATTTTTCAATCAGATAAGATACATATTGAAATTTTACAAAAAGGTTTGATAATAGGATTTCTAGAAAACCTAGAGCCTAGAAAATCAAGTCTTTGGCTTTTGATAAAATATTTTTGTAAACCATAGAGCCATATAGATCAATACATTGTACCTACCAATCTTCAAGGTAAATGATTGTCTTGTAATTATATTTTTTAAAGTTAACAGCGCTCGCTAGAATAAAAGAAAAGAAAATTTCTGCTTTTATGAGCTTATTTTGTTCGTATAAAAGTACGTATTATTTACGTATAAAGGTATACTTAGTGAATATTTTAAATAAATTTATCAGGTATGGTCTAGGTTAAGAATACTCCCTTTAGTCTACATAGGTGTGATGGAGGCAGGTCTAAAGCAAGGGATTGGGATTAATTTTCAGGCAAAGTCAAGTTATTCTTCAGTTTTCACTAAATAAGAAGTTTCAATTCATTTTTCAAACAAAAGCTTGCTCTATTTGATTTCAGCTTGCTTATTTTGATTCTCAACGGATTTAACCAACGACGTTCAAGTTTAACGTTAAGCCATCACTCAGCAAGTAACAAGGATCGAAGATAACAACTCAAAATAATACTGAAAATTATCCAATGTCATTCAAATCAAATTATCAAAGTGTAGATAAATGTGAGTGCTTTTGCTTTTTCGTTAGAGCCATCATGCTGTAAATTAAGTCTCTTTTAAGCTGATCAATCTGATGAAGGTCCGTCAGTTGATCCGGATGTATTCAGTGCGAGTGGTTCTTCAAAAACTTTCGACCCCCAAAAGTCAACAATCACACAACGACGACCAGCACCATCAAAAAAGGTAAACTAAGAAATAAACATTGGGAGACAAAATGTGGGTTTTATTTCCATCTTTTAAGAAAGATTTTGGTGCACAAAAGTTAGCAACGGATTTCAATGAAATTGAACGTAATGTACAAGAACAAGAGAAAATAAAAGAAATTCAAGCAAATCAAGAAATAAAAAGTCGTGAAGGAATAGAAAAACAATCAGAAAAACAAATGTAATTTAAAAGCTTAAGAATTATTTCAGCGGTAACATATTCTTTAAAGGACTGTTTTGAAGTTTGCCTATAAGAGATAAATAAATAACAAGAAGCAGAAGAAGCTCGGCTAAAACAGTCAAATACAAAAAAAGTTGAACAACTTGAACGGTTAGCGACGGGGTTTGCTAACAGAAAGTGGATTCATTTTTCTGGAGATACCAAAAAGAGGATACTCTTTTTCGCGCACTACGTTTGTACTACTGTTAAAGAATACAAACTGATTGTTTTGGAGTGCTCCTACAAGATGATGACATCTTCACCTCTATCTTTTATGTTATGGTTATAAACGGTTTGAACTTTTGTTTTGGTTTCGGAATGTTGTCGGTTTCGTTCAGGGATGATCACAAGTTACCAATCGATGTTTTATATCGAAGATATGATACACATCCAGAGAAGGTGAGAAGACTCTTGTATTAACTGAGAGTTGCGCATATTGGATGTTTTTTAAATATTTTAGGGTTTAACTGATGCAAAAGCTGCTCAAGTTTTAGCTCGTGATGGACCAAATACCTTAACTCCACTGAAAACCACTCCTAAATGGGTTAAATTTTGTAAAAAAATATTTGGCGGTTTTGCCTTACTGTTCTGGCTTGGTGCTATTATATGTTTTATTGCACATGGCATAAGTGTGGCAACATATGAAGAAGCTGCGACTGACAATGTGAGCAAGCAGAAAGTTGATCTGATTTAAACATGCTAAGAAAATCAGCTCTCTTCATTTTAGCTGTGGCTAGGCATTGCATTAACTGTTATTGTGCTTTTAACTGGATGTTTTTCATATTTTCAAGAAGCCAAGAGTTCAAGGATTATGGAGTCGTTCAAACAGATGTAAGTGTGAATGCACAAACTTCTTACAGCATATTATATCTTATTCTCAGTTTTAGGGTTCCACAAGTATGTTTGATCTCTTCTGCGTTTCTCG